GCAAATAGGCAAATTATTGTGCTGTTAGGAAAGCTTAATTTTCCACCAAGGAAGACGTTCAGTCGAAATGCGTTTGGTTTTATTGTTAATTTTTATCTCTCATATTACATTTCCTCTAGAAGTGCATATACTTCTGCTCCTTCATGCACTTTGAATGTTGGACATTTTTATATTGTGCATGTCATTAGAGATTTCTAATCTTCTATATAATTGACAGTGTATTTACTTTTTAATTTGCATATATACAGGTAGCATATACATTACTTGTGGTCTTTACTTTCTGGCACAGTGTATTGCCTTGACCACACACTGTTTACTTGGATGCCAGAAAACTATTGTGTCTACATTTACTGTATATTTTAGATAGTAAAACTTTCTTATGCATTATTTTTTCATTACTTTTCTCTAGCTAGACCTTTCTGTTTGACATACTGTTTTTTTTGTCTAGGACAACACCTTTTTTGTTTTCTTTTGAAAGAAAACTGTGTTGGCACAGGGGTGGGTTAATGGACTAAAAACAAAGGGATTACTCATCAGAAGGAAACAGAAGGAAGGCTTGCGAAATTGCAGCCTGCGATGGCAAAGTCTGCATCATCTTCACATGACCGGTTTTAAATCTAATGCCAGGATCCTAAACACATTGGTTTGAATAGGAATGGGGCAGCACGAGACTTGTATAACCAAGACCATTGGGAATATTGTATTAAAAAACATAATCCTCCTCCAACTTCTTTCCGATTGAAAATGTGATTCAAACTGTAGAATCAAATCAATTTTTAAATCTAGCTCCAATTCTGCAATGGGATTCAAGGCAGGTGAGAATAATTTGCAGGAAATCTATATCTATATCTATATCTATATCTATATCTATATCTATATCTATATCTATATCTATATCTATATCTATATCTATATCTATATCTATATCTATCTATATATGGTCTCAAGTGTCTTAGGGTGGCCTTAGGGTTGCCATAATTTGGGAATGACTTGAAGGCACACAACAACAACAACAACAACAACAACAACAACAACACATGGCCTGGAGACTGCCAAAGAATCCCAGGTGCTATTGGCTATATTTCAGAGGAAGGTAGCAACAAACCTCCTCTGAATAAATGTTGGCAAGAAAAAATAAAATCCAGGGTCGCCTTAAGTTGGAGAGGACTTGAAGGCACACAACAACAACACATATCTGGAAGGCCATGGAACCAAATAATAATAATAATAATAATAATAATAATAATAATAATAATAATAATAATAACAACAACAACAATAATAATAATAATAATAATAATAATCTGGTGGTGGTTGTTTTGCCATAGGAGAACCTGAAGTGGGGAAAAGCTGCGCAAAAGAATGTCTTCCCACCACATTTGTATCCAGACCGATTCCTCTGAGCAAACTGCAAAGCTATGAGAATATCACATGCAAAGGAAGGACCTCGGTGATGTAAGTGCCTTTTTGTTGTGCCTTTCGTGTATATATATATATATATATATATATATATATATCGGTGTAAAAGTATAAGGTTTTTATTTTGAAGCCAGATTTGGTGTCAGAACATTTCTGACCCCGATTTCCACAGCCCTGCTGACATGCCCATAAGATACTAATGGGATCCCAAACTTTATTTTAGAGATTTTTTCTTTTAAAAACATTCAAAATACATTCATGGGCACCTAGAGAACACAGAGAAGAGAAATGGCTTGGAACAGAGATTCTTGTGCTTCCCCCTCATAGGAACAGTAGGCAAGTCATTTTAAAAGGTTTGACTTAGGCTCCATCTGCACTGCAGAAATAATGCAGTTTGATACCACTTGGGCTGTCATAGCTCAATGCTGTGGAATCTTGGGATTTGTAGTTTATTGTGGTACCAAATCTCTCTGACAGAGAAGTCTGAATTGCTCATATAACTACATGTCTCAGAATTCTACAGCATGGAAATGGTTTCAAAGTGCATTATTTCTGCCGTGTAGATGGAGCCTCAGCTGGGTCCTGTCCACCGCATTCCTTCTTACGGGGTCCTTTCTTTTTCCTCTCCAGATTGCTTACTAAGATGAACCGAAGCTTCTGTGCCAGACCTGAGGAGGAATGGGTACAAAGGGTTATGAAGCAACTGGATTTAAAAAACGCCCCTCCGCCTTCAAAGGCCGACACTCCAGGATTTGACAAATTCTCCAGAGACGCTGTGCCCACATCAGCTCCGGCTGTGGGTCACACTCGCCCCACTGGAACATCAAGAGGGTTTCCTGCAAGGAGAACAACAGTTCCTGACCGCTCTCCAATAACAGAAAAGACTGGTGTTGGAGCCACTTTTAAGCCTGGCCCTGTTGCAAACGGAAAGACAGACCAGACACATGGCTCTGGAACCCCTCATGGCTTGGAGACCTCTCCTACATTCATAGGAACTCAGAGGACCACTAATGGTAGATCTGATGTGCAAAATCCCACAAGGTCTTCTCTACAACCGACCATCCATCTGTCCAGCTCAAGCAGCCATATTGCAGACTCTGTTGAGAAAGGCATGGTGCCTTCTGCCGCATCAACCATGTTCCTGACTTCTCCCAGTACGCCAACTTCAGTCCTGAGCACAAGCGACAAGCTTCAAACCACTACTGGACTCACAAACTGGTTGCAAACAAAGGGTGTCACTGACCGGCCCAGCACACACTCCAGTAGGGATGGAAGCAACACCAGGTCCTTCAACATTGAAGACAGGAGTGATGGAGTGAGGGACTCATCTGTGGCTTTTGGAGGGACATCACCTTTGTCAACCAAAGCGAGCAGAGATATTTTTTCTGAACTGCCGGCTTCTCGACCAACTTCAGGGTTTCACCAGGAAAATGTGAATGAGAAGAGCAGGGCCCAGGTAACAACCTACAAACCAGAGGTCACATTGACCTTGTTTCCTGGGGCCCTAGTTGGGTACCGGACTCACATCATCTCCTTGGTGGGTGCCGGTCTTCTCTTCCTTGCCTCTGCTGTTGTTGGATGGCTGTGGTTGAAGAGCAGCCTATCTGCCACCACTTTGCCCAAGGAAATGGTGGAAGGCCTGCTGTACAATTCACCGAACTCACAAGCTGATGAATATCCCATGAAGATTCTTTGACTTGCTTGGGTTTCCCAACAAAGAGACTAACTAGGCTAAGTCTGAGGACATAAACAGATGGTGTCCCCTGCCAGAACAGGACCTTATATGGTTGGCGGCTGTTGGACAACAGGATGCATATCAACTCATGGACAGATAATTTCAATGTTATGAGATGCCTGCAGAATGATAGACTAGGGTCATGGTCTTCAAAGTGGGAGGTAGGCTTTCATAGGAAAACATGCCATCACTAGAGGAAAGGGGACAGCTCAACTTTGTCTTGGGAATGTGTGTTTGTGTTGTGTGTAAGAGAGAGATGGATCATTCTGTTCAGAGCTGGGTGAGTCCAACACCGTCTGCTTTTTGCCAAGGGTTCGATCCAAGAGTTGGACCAATCCAGTTATTGGTTAAGAGTTTGGTCAGTCCAAATGTCATTGTTGAGGGGTGGATCTAGAGTTGGATCAGTCCAGTTTTGATCAGCCCAATTGTTGGGGATCTTGGACAGCTGGATCCATCCTGGCACAATCAGATCAGTCCATCTGTCATTGTTGAGTGACAATGCTGAGATCAGCCACAAAGGATTAACATAATACTCAGGGCTGGCCCAAGACATTTTGCTGCCTGAGGTGAAAGACAAGATAGTCCAACACCCCAGTTCTACATGGAGATACAGACTGGAAAAGTTGAACCTAACTTCGGTACTCGCCCAAGGGCAGCACCCTGTCCACCATATATCAGCAGGCGAATTGATGGAGGACACACTCTCACCCTCCAGCATCCACTAACTGAGGCAACTGCCTCACTGTTTTTCCAGACAAGCAGGCATCAGCTGATGCCCACTGACATTGGTAAAGGTGGAGTGTAAGGTCACCAGAAGTGAACCCAAGAGGCGTCCAATGGAACTAACTGTATCTAGTTTGGTATCCAACCTTCTCCCTCCCAAGATCTAAGTACCCTTGTATCCTTCTGCTGGTTGGGAGGGTTGTTGGGAGAATAAATGAGGTACTTCTCAGACAGTAGGACCATCTCCCTTAGGCAGAGGGAAATTCCATGTCTGGCATCCTGTTCGTGACATAGTCATGTGTAACTTGCACTATGCATGCGGGGCGAATTATTCCCTGCAGTGCAACAGGTGTGCTTTACTGACTGGAAGCAGAGCTACGCCTACAGCAATATTGCATATTGGGATTGGACATTACTCATTGCGTGCAGTGATCACACATCACACGTTGTGTTGGTGCACTGAGCATTGCATCTGTGCGTTGTGCACAGTGGCACATGTGTTGCACAATGTTGCTACTGTGCATGGGAGTTGTGTAGTACTGGAACAAAATTATCTCTACATGTAGTAGAACAATAAAAAACAAATAGTCCTGCATGAAGGTATTTATGCAACCCTGGGTGTGTGTGTGAATTGCAGCCAATGCCTTGCCATTCCAGCAGGATTCATGTACATCAGAATCCTTGGATCTCAAAATAGTCAGTTAGTGATAGATTTTATAGATGCACATTTTGCATGTGCAAATCTTTCTATATATGCATCACCATGACAGGACCAGGAAGAAAGCATGCAATGTTATGTTGAATTTAACACAAGAAGACCAAAAATTATGCACCTTTTCTATGTACTTGATGCACTTTTGTAGTCTAATCCTTGCAGGTTTCTTGAATTGTTTTAAATCTCATTTTGTCCTATGTTGTTTTATATTTTATAGTAAAAAGAAATCGAATCTTAATCCATGCCATATGTTGCTATTGCAAACCAGAATCTGATGAAGGTGGTGGTGGGCAATTGGTCAACCAAAGTATAATGAAACTGGACTACCAGATCATTCAGTATAACCCAGTAATAGATCCCATCTCTTATTTTGTTGAGTTTAATGTCATGGCATAAGGTTGTTAGAGAGCCAGAATGGCAAGGTGATTTGAGTGTTGGACTATGACTCTGAAGGCCAGGGTTCAATTCCCTACTTGGACATGAAACCCACTGGGTGACCTTGGGAGAGCCACACTCTCTCAGCCTCAGAGGAAGGCAATAATAAACCTCCTCAGAACAAATCTTGCCAAGAAAACCCCATGATAAGGCCACCTTAAGGTCACCATAATTTGGAAATGACTTGAAGGCCAGTATTCCATATTTTTGTACTCTGCTTTCCTTTGCTTTTATGGTACTGATTTGTTTCTCACTGTCATGAAGCACTTTGGGTGCTCTGAATGTCTGAGAAACCACCAAAACATATAATTTAAAAATTTGCTAAGCAAATTCAATTATATTCTACTTCTCCTTGGTATTTGATTTGGCTGTTTCTCTTTTTTTGGCTACCCATTTTCTGAGCAATTCCATTGGAGGAAGAAGAGGATTGATATAAGGTGATAAGGAAGGGCGAAATCTTTTCCGCCGGCTGCAAGAGTGAACCAGAGAGCAGAAACTTGTATTAGGAAGGATAACGTGAGGCTTGGGAATTTCCATGGGGATTGTAATAAAAACATCACAATCTTTGATAAACAGACTTTTATGTTATGGTTTATTTTTCGGAGTCATGGCCGTGGGTGGTCAACTACCTGGCAGCCTTTTTGCAATTGTGTAACTTCTGGAGATTTTCCAGCTGGGAATAAATGGATATCCTTCCTTGATTCTTATCCACAAAGCCAAAAATATGTACTCACAACTTTAGTAAGTGAATGTATTCAAGTTTGTTGCTGTGTGCCTTTAAGTTGTTTCCAGTGAATGGCGATTTCTGATTTATCACGGGGATTTTCTGGAGTTGACTCCTTGAATTAACTGTTGAATTGTGAGTCAACACATAATTCAATGCCACTGATTCCATAGGGCTGTTCTAGTTGGGGTTAACAACAGGATTCAGGCTGCTCTTGTAAACACAGGAATAGTTTAACCAAAATATTTGTTGTTGTTGTTGTTGTGTACCTTCAAGTCGTTTCCGACTTATGGCAACCCTATGGAGTTTTCTGGGGCTGAGAGTGTGTGACTTGCTTGAAGTTGCCAAGTGGGGTTTCCATGGCTGAGCAAGGAATTGAAACCATACAGCAAGTGAAAACATGCATATAAAAACATTAATATAAGTTTTCAACAGGGATACATAGAAAAATCTATTTTGACTATAATTCCTAGAATCCCTCCAGCCAACATGGCCAGTGGGGATACTGGGAACTGTAGCATTTCTAAGTTCTGCATTGAGTTTTGAAATCCTCTTTTTAAATCTACCCAAGCAAATGTCGATCTTCACCGCACCTTCCTTCCATT